AAAAATGGTAATTTAGAATAGAAAAAATAGAAATAGGAATAAAAATAGAATTTTCAGCTTAGAATTCGAACCTGGATTGCCCGATAGCGAAGAAAAACTTGAAAATTCATTTATATTTTTGGTTTTTCTTTGACGTAGTAAAAATTCTCGGAAATTTTGTGAATTTTTTTGGGTTGGAAAAATGGTAATTTCAGCGTAGAATTTAAACCTGGATCGATCGATTGGAAAAAGAAATAAAATTTACTTATACTTCTTGTTTTTTTGATGGTAGTGAAAAATTTCTCAAAAATTCCCGAGGAATTTTTCGGAGCGGAAAAATGTCCTCGCTGAGATTTGAACCTCAGGCCTACCGCGACATCGCTGCTTTCTTGGAAAGGCTGTGTACGGCTGTACAAGGAAAGAAAATTCTCGATGTGAGATGTGCATGCGTGCAACAAATTTATTATATTAGTTTTCAGATTGTTGATTATACTACGGCGCCTCGATCAGTCGGAGGGGTTATGAATTTTATAGGAGAATTGGAAACTTGGCTGAAGGACATTCCCCCACTACAGCAGCCTATGCGATTCGGAAATATCGCTTTTCGGTAAAAAATTTTCGGAAAAATTACGAAAAAATCATAAAATTTTCCGTTTTGTTTGTTTGGAGCTCCTTGAAACGCTGATGCGAATCGAATGATAGTCAGGAAATTTCTTTACGAAAATTTTTCTCAAGAAAAAACTTTTTTTATTTTAATTGCAGAAAAGTTTTTCCCGTCTATTTTTGGTTATTTTTTTGTTATTTTTCTTGTTACTTTTTGGTTTTTTTGCTATTTTTCTGTTATTTTTCATGTTAGATCTTGGCATAATCGATTAGCTGATCGACTACCGAGAATATTTGACAGAATTTTGGGACCAGAATTGCAGCCGGCAGTGATCGAGTTAACGCCATATATGTGAGTAAAAAATCTTTTTGGTGAAAAAAAGATTTCCCTTTTTTAAGAGTTTTTTTTCATAGACGGTGTGGGAAAATATGCACATGGTCAACTACATGTGTCGGTGACCACATGAAAATTTTGAGAAAAAAATGAATTTTTTTTATGAACTCCTACAGTGAGTGAGAAAACTTTCACTCTCAGCTGTGGAAAGCGAGCATATATTACATATATATACAGGTATGAAAATTGCGATAAAAATCTACTTTCTGTCGGGTTTTTTATGAAAAAAAATA